TCTGTCTGTCTTTCTTTCCGTCTGTCCGTCCATCTGTCTGTCGGTTTGTCTCTCTGTCCATCTGTCTGTCTTTCTCTCCGTCCGTCTGTCTGTCTGTCTCTCTGTCCATCTGTCTGTCTTTCTCTCCGTCCGTCTGTCTGTCTGTCTCTCCGTACATCTGTCGGTCTGTCTCTCCGTCCGTCTGTCTGTCTGTCTGTCTTTCCGTCCGTCCGTCCATCTGTCTGTCGGTTTATCTCTCTGTCCATCTGTCTGTCGGTTTATCTCTCTGTCCATCTGTCTGTCGGTTTATCTCTCTGTCCATCTGTCTGTCTTTCTCTCCGTCCGTCTGTCTGTCAGTCTGTCTCTCCGTACATCTGTCGGTCTTTCTCTCCGTCTGTCCATCTGTCTGTCTGTCTTTCTCTCTGTCCATCTGTCCATCCGTCTTTCTGTCTGTCTGTCTCTGTCCATCCGTCTTTCTGTCTGTCTGATCATCTGTCTGTCTGTCTGTCTGTCTCTCTGTCCATCTGTCTCTGTCAGATGTGTCAGTAATCCTGCAGTTGGTTTTGCAGCTCTTAAACGGTGCAGATTCCTTGTGTGTGTGTGTGTGTGTAACAGTAAATAGTTGAACACCTGCAGCAGTGCCGCTCATGACACACTTCATGAATGCACCGCTGTATGTGTGTGTGAGGTAATGCCTGAACGTGAATGGAAGCTATTGTGCCACACACACACACACACTCAGAACTAGAGGCTCGTGGGTTTTTCCCTCTTTATGAACATGATGTGTGTCTGTGTCTGGGAAGAGCTTCCTGTTCCTGCGGCTGCAGTCTGAATGTGTCCAGAGATGCTCAGACACACTGACCACAGCAGCCACGTCTCTCTGTGTTTGTCTGTCACTGACCGCAGCCTGTAGTGCCGTCCTGACTGTTGTCCTCTCTGGCGGTTCGGTCCGAGGGTGTTTGTCCGGTCTGTCTGACGCGCTGCGGGTTCGAGTCCTGGTGCTGCAGGACAGGAGAGGATAGCGCAGCGTCTGCTGCTGTTGTCTTGTTCTCTTCTCTGCCGTTTCTGACGGATGGTTTTTATTACTCCAGTGTTTTTGAGACACTAAACGCTCGGGCTCTTTTTCCCACTTTGCAA